AAGATGAATGTTTCTAAGAAGGGTCGTGTAAACGTTGTTGTGGGTGAAGCCGCATAGTGATCTGCAGAGGGTTGAGAGGAGCAAATTGGTTGCTTTGCTGTACAGAAGGAAGTTTAACACATGTACATACGCTGTAACACCAGACTGTTTTCTCAGCAGCAAACTATGCTTTCCCCCCTGATGACGGACGCTTGTGTTGCGCCCGAAACGTCGTGATTTATTTATATTTTATTTTATACCTACGTGACTTTACCGAAAGAACCAAAGAGCATGGATTCCTGCAGTCACGAAAGCTTCAAATCAAGATTATGTATGTATACATGTTGTACTTATTTCCCACCGTACAGAGCCAACCGTGGCAATCGGAGGAGCGGCAGTAAAGCAAAGTCAAGGTAAGTCAAGTAAGTACGTATATATGTTGAATTTCTTTTGCGCCGTACGGAGTCAATGTTGCTAATCGGAGGTGCGGAGTACAGCAAAGTCAAGCTGTCTCCTTGCTCAGTGATCTCCAATGGGGTTCTCTGACCCAGCAGGGGAAATTCCACGTTCCCGTGGTCGAGGTCAGTCTCTCATTCTGAACGACCACCGTTGACTTCCTATAAAGCGTGACTCATTGTTTCGACCCTGGAGGGAATGTTTGTGTGTCTATGGAAATGCACAGACACTCGCATATACTGCACTGGACAAGGGTTATCTTGTATGCTGGGCGTAACAAAATAGTACATTTTATTCACGTGAGTATGGAAAAGTGCTTCTCTTCAAATGGCGATCCTGTGTGAGTGGGGAAAGTTCCAAATTCCCACGGAGGGTTTCTGCCACTGCGTTGGACTCGTGTCGGATACCCATTAAGAGCGGTATTAATTTTACCGACCCTAGGAGAATGATTGGCTGAGCTACCGTTGACTTGGGACTGGGATATGTACTGACATTCCAGGCACTGTCCGTCCAGTTGTCTGACATCAGCACCTGGTGAGTAAAGTTTATTCTTTGATTAATAGCAATCACATCGTCGGTAATAGAAATCAATCCTACTTCATCATTCAGCTTGTTCTTTACAATTGATGGTTAATTTCGCGAGTCTGGTAAATTACTCTCAGAAACGTCTCCTATATGGCCTCAAGGTGGATTTTAACAGCCCTTTACCAATCGATATGCTGTATGCATGCTGCACTTCTTTCGCACCGTACATAGCCAACCATGCTAATCGGAGGTGCATACAGTAACTGCAGTGGCTTCCTAATATCGGAAGGAAGATCGTTCCAGACGGCCGCAGAAGCGCATCTGAAAGCGCGCGATGCGGTGACCACCGTCTTTGTTCGAGGGCTAGTTAAACGCTGCTGCGAGGATGACCGCAGTTTGCGTGATGGTTTATTGCTGGACGAAGGCGTCCCCATGCCGCGTCGTTAATCGGTGTTTGTTTGACCATACTTCACCACACTGGTCACATTAGCCTCTATTGCTGGCAGCGGACGTAAATATAATTCAGGTGGTCCGGTTCAAGCCCCATGCGTGAATCACTATGCCACCGCTCCTGTATTAATTAGATTTGTGTTTTGTAATTAAACGTATCAATTACTAATGCAGCGCCATTGGCATTATTCTTGACATTTAAATACATTGCAATTGGCCTATTCAGTTCAACAAATGATTTGAAATAAAGCCTTGCATTTATTATCATTACGACTCTTTAAATACGCGCGTTAATTATGCCCCATTCTTTATTAAATCTTACTCCGGGCATGCGATGACACCGTTTTAAAGGTTTAATCGTGAAAAGGTACACATGTATAGTCTGTAACATGCAGCAGTACGTATCATTTGATCTGCCACGCTCAATCCACTGCTGGATGGAGGCTTTCCTTCATGAGCCTGCGATGTGTTCATCGTCGACCTGCACACGAACAGATGCAATCGCTCGGTCCGCTCCTCCCAGTTCGCGCGGTTGGCTGCGTACGGTTCGAAAGAAGTTTCGAAAGAAAAACAAAACATGCAGACAAAAGACAAAGATCCCCCGTATAGCCTTAACATACTGTTTGGGGCAAGTGCTGCTAGCGAGTAGCACCTATGAAAAAAAACACATACACATTTAGACGTCCCACGACCACACTCACCCTGCATTTTTTCCATGTTTCAGTAGCTGCACTTATTGTGTCACGGTTAAATATCATTCGCCCCAGCCGACTTTCGCTCATGTGAATGTATAGCTTGACATTCATCAACGGCAGTGAACTATTTTCGATGCCTCATGCGACGCTCTTATTTTTTTTGCTCCCAATTTCTATTTGCCCCCATTATTGCGAAACATTTGTTTGCCTTTGAGTGACCCGGCTCGCTCTTCCAAATGAGACTTATCACTGGCCTTTCGAGATTCGCTCCACCTGGTTGAAAGAGAATAAACTTGAAAAACTTGTTGGGGAAGTTCTGACATTGAACTTAGCGCCACCCAGTGGCTGCGATTAATACAATCAAACGTTCAGTCGGACGAACGGCAAGTGTGTGTCCCTGATGCTCTTATACTGCGAGTGGGAGCGGTAGTGTAGCGGTTAGCGCGCTGCGCTACGAACCCGGAGTTCGATTCTCGCCCACGGCCCAAAAACAAGGTGGCGATTATCTGCACCGGTCCTGGGCCTCCCCGAGGTCGACTCAGTCTTCAATGAGTTACCTGGTGCGGTGTGTTAACATCGCCACTGGGAAGACAAAGGCGGCCGGGGGTGGTGTTGGCCATCCACCCCCCTCGTGTGCCGTGCCGGCCTTCACAGGTGCTCGCGAACAGCACTTGCCTCACAAGGGTGTTCAGACTATACGGGGGACCTTTGTCTTACACTCCGAGTCGCCGGGGTCATTCCCATAACATCACCTTTCATCTACTTCATACGCTCCGTGTGTGTGTAGAATACGGGACTGTTGTTGATGCTTGGTATATATGAAACGTGCGGTGAAACGAGCAAGATGCATATACGATGCACAATGGATCCTGCAGTAACATCTATGAGGGATTATTTTTTTCGTTTTAAAACATTTATATTTATGCGATATAACCCCCAAACCGTCCGTCCTGTGTTATGAACGAAGCCGTGCTATTTATCCCGTCGCACTGTGGTGACCAATGGTCAGGAACAGTGGACCGGAGTGGCAGGCGCCCTTCCGATTAGCACGGTTGGCTGCGTAGGGTGCGAAAGAAGTTCGACAACAAGTAACATACGTACAAAAGAGAATGGAAATCGTTTCGATAGCACGCGTCCACGGAGGAGCTGGAGCGATGAAAACGGCTCCGTCTGCAGGCGCTTGGGTGGATCTTTTTTTACATCACAGACAGGTCTTCATCCAGCCGTAGATCGAGCATAGCTGGTGATGGTGGTGCACTGCAATGTTGATGATGATGGATCATCACGGCGTGGTTTGTGCTCGTGTGTGATGACATGCGCGGCGTGTCGCGGAGCTGGTGTGGGAAGTGTAATCGCGCGCGCCAGGTGGCGCTGTGATGAGACCGCTCGGCTCACAATTTGGGAAGATTATTTTTGCGAGTTCCTGAACCAAGGCTCGACCCGTCGTTCTCCTCGGGATAGATAACAAAAAAAAGATAACAATTTCGTGGCAAAGTCAACGGCGCTCGTTCTATGGATTGACTGGCCCCGCCGTTGGAATGTGGAATTTCCTACGCTAACTCGGCGTTATCAAAGGGACCGAATGAACGAGTGGCCTGCCCGTGCCGCATTGCTCGTTTAGAGATGTTTTTATTGTTGTTTGTTGAGGCCCTTGCGACTTGGATGCGGATTCCACGGCGAGACGCGCGTGACACTATGGAATAAAAACAACAACCCTCCTCCCGCAAAACAAACCGGCCTCGAATGCGTAAGACGATCCACTCCTTCCTCTCGCCAATCCGCGAGCATCGCTCTGTTGACTCCCTCGGCCCCGTGGATGATTTGGATAATGACGACGGATGGCTTGGCCTCCCGCAGGATTACGCCGGCGGCGATGATTGTTCGCTTATTATTAATGTCGAGCGCGCGAGACGCGGGGGATCTCGAACACAAAAAAGGGGGCGTCCGTTGTGTCTTTTGCGAGGCTCAAGCTGTCGCTGGCATTGTGCCGCTAGTTTATCCCGTGGCCTAACCTGTTGAACTCCCTTGCCCACTCATCCGTGTCGCATTGTACCGTCGTGTTATCAGCCGGTTCAAGGTTAAATTCCTGCGTATTATGTGTGTTGTTTTTGTGGTGTGGAATTGGGAGCTTTGCGTGGCTAAGCATGCGTCTGGTTGGGTTGGCTCAACTCGCAATCGGCGGCTTCCGAGTTCAAATCCGTGGATGGGGGTTGACTCGGCCCCCATCATCGCTCCGTGGTCGATACAGTCGGTACCAATTTTGTATGAACGTTAATAGCGGTTATCCTATGAATATACTCACCTCCGTCATAGGAATGTGGAATTCCCACCACTGGTTCAGGGCTGTAAACCCCAGATAACCACCACCACCGCAGAATCAAAAGCAACGCTTTGCAAATCTTGGAAGCTGCACTGGAAAAAAGAATCCCTATCACCCAAGAAAATGAGTCTTAGCCATTGGTAAATTCCACATTCCAACGGTGGGGCCCGTTGGTTCCACGAGACGAGAATCGTTGCCTTGCCACACATTTTGGCTGAGGCCGGACGGGGAGAGTCGACCGACGAAGCCAATCCCCAACCAGGACTCGAACTCGCAATTGACCGATTGGGAGTCAGGCGCTCTCACCGCAGCGCCACCAATCCATATTCACATCCATTAAGTGTCTGCAAACATACAGGCTATAATATAAACCACAGGCGGTGTAAAAAAAAAAAGGTGAGTTAAAAGAGGGAGAAAAAAACCACATTGATATGAAACGACTGTCACAACACACGATGCGCTCTAGCAGCAGCTCGGGATCCCGTACTGACGAGCCAGCGCAATCTCCCCTCCTACCACCCTCCCTCCCTCCCACGAGCCCACCCGTGCAGCCACCCACCCAGCAGCAGCAGCAGCATCAACCGGCGCAGCTCGCATCAGCAGCAGCAGCAGCACAGCGGAATGAGCGCGCACGGCGCATCTTAATCACCTCGCTAGCCGGGTCCGCCCGCCAGCTCCGCCCGCCAGCTCCCCGCGTTCACGTGCACGCATTGTGCCTCCCGTGCGCGCGCACACACACACGCACGTCCACGGCAACCCGCGCGCATCATTGAAGACACGGAGGAGAGCGCGAGAGAGAGAGAGCGCGAGGGGGACACGGACAGAGAGGGGGCAAGGGACAAGCGAGAGAGAGGGCTCCGTAAGGCGCGGACTCGCCCGCTTTCGCATCTGTTCAGGCCCGTCGCGTGTGGCTATCGTTTTTCTTTTCTCTCTCTCTGCTGCAGACGGATTTGGCGAAGGTTAGAAAGTGCAACAGCGCATAGAGGAGTCGGTGGGGGGGGGGTGGTGGGCTCACATTGCCTCTCGTCCCCTCCCGCGTCTGGCCGGCTCTCCCTTCGCTCGCCGCTGCAAGCGCTCCCGCGCAGTACACACTGCGTGCGTGCGTGCGCGTCTGTGCGCGCGTGTGAACACACACACACACTCAGGCGCGCCACCACGCACACACAACAACAACAACATTCACTCCCTCTCAGGTCGCTCGCCGAGAGTGGTGGTGGGGGGGGGGCATTCCGGTGATGCTGCCCTGAGACATTAAGAGGTGAGCTCCGGCTATTCGGTTGTGGCAGAGAGTGAGTGCAGGAGGCGTCGTGCGACCCACCAAGTCCCGGCGCTGTATCTCCTCCGTCTCTGACCCCCCCCCGTGCCCGCCCGCCCGCCCGCCCGCTTCTCTGCCTTTTTTTCTGCGCGTGTGCGTGGGGGGTATCTCTTGCGGACCAAGATAAGTGGTTCTTGCCGCAGCGAAATCAGTGCGGTGTACCCTACCGCGCCTTACGGCCAGACAAGACCCCCCCTACCTTGCATCGCGCCGTCGGGAAAAGCGAGCGGCATTGTCTGTGCTTCGAGGAGCAGCAGCGGCAGTTGTTTGGCGGGTGAAAGCTGGCGAGATTATGCGCCGCACCTCGCCTCGGTCGTCACATTGACGCCTCCAGACATCCCATCCCCGCGCTCACTCGCCGACGGCGGCGGCGGCGGTGGTGGTGTGCACCGCTCCGAAGCGCATCGTCTATCGGGAACGTGCCGAGCGGTGGTGGTGGTGGTGGCGGTGTCGGCTCGCCGTGCGTGTCCGGGGCTGCGCGCACCGTCACGCTTTCTCGCCGTTACCACCGTGAAACTGGACTTTTGCCGTCGCTGCTCGTGAATGACAACGCCGTGAATTGAGATTGCGCGCAGGCAGCAGCAGCGGTGACGAAGAAGAAGAAGACGACTGCACGAAGCAAGGAGAGGGAGGGAGAAATAGTGCAGCGTGATCGCGTCTGTCGGGACATTGCCGCGCACACGCAACCGACTGCCACCGCGGTGAGTGAGCGAGTCGGCGAGCCAGTTGGACCCGCCGCTCACTTCACGAAGACTCTTCCGGATGTTGTGAATTGCGCTCCAACAAGTCAGCTGCTCTTCCTCGCGTCTCGGCATCGCTCCCCAGACTCTGGTCCCTGGCTTACCTTTCCTTTCACATCTTGTACCCCCCCCCCTCCACACCGCCCGCACCCCCTGGGGCATCTGCTCCCGAGAACCTAACCCCTGGTCACCCCGTGGACTGCCGCCGCCGACCTTGACCGCCACTCTCAATCGCTCGGAGATGGCAGCCGGGGTGGCAGCGTGGCTCCCGTTCGCCCGGGCGGCGGCCATCGGGTGGATGCCCGTGGCCACCAGCCCCATGCCCCCGGCTCCGCGCGAGAAGAAGCACCAGGATGAGCTGATGGTGCTCAACGTGAGCGGCCGCCGCTTCCAGACGTGGCGCAACACCATGGAGCGGTACCCGGACACCCTGCTGGGCAGCAGCGAGCGCGAGTTCTTCTTCAACGAGGACACCAAGGAGTACTTCTTCGACCGCGACCCGGAGACGTTCAGGCACATCCTGAACTTCTACCGCACGGGCAAGCTGCACTACCCGAGGCACGAGTGCATCATGGCCTACGACGAGGAGCTCGCCTTCTTCGGCATCATCCCCGAGATCATCGGCGACTGCTGCTACGAGGAGTACAAGGACAGGAAGCGAGAGAACCAGGAGAGGATCCAGGACGACATCGACTCGGAGATCAATCCGGACAGCCTGCTGCCGAGGACCAACTCCCGGGAGCGCATGTGGCGCGCCTTCGAGAACCCGCACACGAGCACCTTGGCGCTCGTCTTCTACTACGTGACGGGCTTCTTCATCGCCGTGTCGGTGATCGCCAACGTGGTGGAGACGGTGCCGTGCGGCGCCATGCCGGGCACGGTGCGCGACTTGCCGTGCGGGGAGCGATACGCGCTCGCCTTCTTCTGCCTGGACACGGCGTGCGTCATGATATTCACCGTCGAGTACCTGCTACGCCTCTTCGCCGCGCCCAGCCGCTACAAGTTTATACGGAGCGTCATGAGCATCATCGACGTGGTGGCCATCATGCCCTACTACATCGGCCTCGTCATGACGGACAACGAGGACGTGAGCGGCGCCTTTGTGACGCTGCGCGTCTTCCGAGTCTTCCGCATCTTCAAATTCTCGAGGCACTCGCAGGGGCTGCGCATCCTGGGCTACACCCTCAAGAGCTGCGCCTCCGAGCTCGGCTTCCTGCTCTTCTCGCTCACGATGGCCATCATCATCTTCGCCACGGTCATGTTCTACGCCGAGAAGGGCTCCTCCGCCAGCAAGTTCACGAGCATCCCGGCCGCCTTCTGGTACACCATCGTCACCATGACCACCCTGGGGTGAGTGACACGAATGCGGCAGACAGCACCCGCAGGAACCCCTCCCGCAGCGAGGAGTGCGCGTGTCTGTCTGCGCGTGGGTTTGGGTCCTCGCTACACAGCACTTGCCCCGACAGTCTGTTGAGACTATACGGTGGGGTGGTGATCTTTGTCTTGGTGTGTGTGTGTGTTTTTGTCTGTACGCACAAGCACGCCTGCTGTGTCACACTGTGGGCCACAGGAAAAGTTGGCGCGCCTCGAAGAGAAACAACTTCAATAGTTATCAGCTTCCTGAGCTGGCTCGTAATAAATACGCGAGTTTGCGATCTGTTGTTATACCACATCTAAATCATACATGTTCTCGATTCTAAACAAAACTAACACGTTTACTTTAACTCAGTTGGTACAAGTTGAATGTCTGGTACCAATGATTATGCCAAGCTGATTAGCCCAACCTCATAGACCCCCACTTATACATACGCGTACACGAATTGTAAAATGCGATCGTTCATTGGCTGGGTCTTCGCGGATTGTCTTTAAAGTTTAATGAGAAGCGTCACGTGTAATTACCCCGTGCAAATGCACAATCTTGAAATACAACGCATAACACCCCCCCGTTCTTTATATGCAATTACTGCTAACCGGAATAACCTGATTGGAACCATGGTGAGCGCGTGCGTCAACGTGGCCGCGAAGTGAGCACAGTCGATGGCTGCAGTCAATCGAGCAGGGCTGTCTAATGCCCGGCCGTGTAAAATCTCGCTGCCCGGCCTACACGTGTTCTCTCTCTCACACACACACAGACTGCATACGAACAGTAATGTCATATGTCCATCAAGGTAAGATCTTTCGTTATTCGGTATTACGGATGTATTCGCGTGTCGATGATGTTGGTGATGCACGTTGATGTATTCATCACGTGTTCAAGACGCACGCGCGCGCGCGGCTGCTGCTGATGATTGTTGCTGATCGTCGACTGTGAGGTCACGCACGCGCGTGCTAAATCGAACCCCGCCCGAGTTATGCGGAGTCATTCCACCTTCGCCTGATCGTCCGTTTGGGTGTAAGCGAATCACATAGCGCGGTTCAGCATGGAAAACCGCTTTACAATTCACTCACCTGGTGGTGAACGTTCATTAAACGCGGGGGGGGGGGGTGTGGAGGGTTTTTGTGGCACCATCACTCTGGTGATTTCACGTGTTATGAATTAATAATACAGCTGCGAATACTACCCCTAACACACATTTGTACTTCCCACCGGCAGAGCCCCCCCCCCCCCATCCCACCCCCCGTGCCCCTCATGCTTCTCATCTTCATCCCATTAGCCGCCTTCCATTCATTCCCGGCTCTGCGTTAATCGATAGCCATTTCAAATGCCACGTCTAATATTATTAGCTGCCTGTCATTGGCTTGTTTCTTTTTTTAATTCTCTCCCCCCCCCCCCCCCCTCACTGCTTCTCATCCTTTTGCTATTTAAATATGCCATTCATTCAATGCGATGCAACGTGAGATGGGGGCGGGTGGCTTTTTGTTGTTGTTGTCTGCCTTTGCTGCATTGTCCATTATTGTTTTTTTTTGCTCATTCGAGTGGCGTGCGGTGACGGGTGAGTCGCATTCCCACGACTTACCGCGCCTCGCAAGGCTCACAAAGACGCATTCGCATCGTATCAGGGAATGTCGTATGGAGAACAGAGCAATTACCGCCAAGGACGAATCCAACTGCTGAGTGTGTTGCAGGCAGGCGCACTGACACGCACCGCGTGCGTTATGATGCGTGCGCGGTGCACATCAACCCACTGCTATGTAGAGGAGGCGTGTTGGTGTTGTTGATCTGCGCACACATCGGAGTGTCTATCAAGCAATCTATACGTGTATGCAAACCCAACCCCATGGTGTGTCTGTACATTTCAGCCCATATAAAATATTACAAGTCTCGGGCATATGTCAAGAGCATATGGAACGTCCTGTTGATAACACATGCACTTGATTCTATACACACACAATGGATGTATGCATATCTGTATACGTGTAAGGAATTATACAAAAAGGCTGTATACTATATTGCAGCATATGTACCACTGAGAATCTGTCCGTTACTGTGAAACTGCGTGTGCATTTTTGTCTGTGATATAAATTATGCCAAGCAGCCTATGTAAGCAAGGGGGAACTACACAATTGACGTGTGGCCAATAAAATATACGTGAATGAGGGTTATACCGCACGGAATATTGGATTGGGCTAAATACGGTAATGGGCAATGGGGAAACGCATAAAAGTGTCCACGGCAAGTTTAACTGGAAGGTTGTCTTCAGATTAAATGATGGCTCTCGCTAATCAAAAGAGAGAGGTCTCCTGGCATCCATCCTCGCAACATGTCCAGCCCGACATCAGTGTGCACCGTGGAATGCTTTGGGTGATGTTTTTTTTAAGCCAAACATTGTCTTCACAAAGGGAATGTTGCAAGGACATTGCATAAAATTGCATACATATTTAACAGTGCTCCATCAACTTTTTCCGATAATGTAATTCATACATCATTAACCCAGCAACATTCAACCAATGATGGGATTTTTTTTTATACATAACGCAATATCACATAGAGTTGTAACTATTACGGTTTTTTTCACTTTGTGGGGAGAGACAACATTTTTGCGAATTGCGGTTATCGCAATACTGACTTAAAACGGGATGCACCGTCACTGTGAGAGACAGCCTCATTACGGTCCAATGCATTTTACAATGCAGCATCTGCTCTATGTATGACAATCTACAGCCGTGTGGCCTGCGATGGAAAGACGCCGTTCACCAAATGCTCGCACACGATTTACTAACTGGTCTATGGTGAAAGTAACGAGTGAAAAACAACAATAAATCACTTGTCGCATGTTGAATTTTTCAAAGGCCTGTTTTCAAATATATATCGATAATTTATACCCAAATTACTGGCAGTAAAAGGTACAGGTGCAGCACTGCAATTGCTTGCTGCCGCCGCTGCTCATTGAAGAACCTCCACTAGAGGGAGCTCTAGGCAGACCCTCCCAATGGGTATTTGGCCTACTCTTCCAAGTTGGCCAGACGTCTTTGGAGAGGTTGAAGCACCTACGCTATGCTCCACCGCACACAATCTGCCAGTTGCCTACCTTACAGTACTGTTAGCTTTAAACGCTTTGAGTACAGTTATTATTGGAAACATATTGATCATGTGCATATAGCAATAGGCTACATGGGGACTGGCGTAGTAGGTTTTTGAGAAAAAAATATGCTGACAAGTTATAGTATACTTCACACACTCTATTTGAAATAGCGCCCCTGTAAAAGACGACGTGTATAAGCGTGAGTGGTTACCATGTTACAACAAAATAAAGTAACGTCTCGTAACTCTCAGTCTGCCAATACATTTAATATCAAGAGCAATAGGTCATAACAGCCAACGCCATTGCGGCCACAGCCTTTAAAAAGATATAAACATAAACTTCCCAAATAACATTTCCCAAGCTCTCTTGCTTGTGTGAATATGAAATATAAAAAAACAACCTATACCCGTTTAACACGTTAGCTTTCGCGATCAATATCGTATATAATATAGTTTTTGTTTGGGGGTTAGATCACGTAAATATAAATGTGTCATTAAACCGACGACCATCCGAGACAGGCAATCAGTAAGGTTCATCATGTCAACAGAACGTGCCAATTCGTTACTATTACAGCACACTGGTGTGTTGGAGAGCAAATCCACAACATTTACGAAACAGGAGGATTTCTCCACAAATGTGTCTGTTCGCCTGATGATGCTAGTTGTAATTGCTGGCGAAACGTCGTACTGGGTTGGTAAATGTTCTGGATTTGCTCTGCAACACACCGGTGTGCTGTACTAGTAACACAATGGCATGTTCTGTTTACGTGACAAACTTTACTAATTGGCTGTGTCGGGTGGTGGCGGATTTAACGACACATATTTACGCAATCTAACCCAAACCACTTCTATTATGAACATATATCCGCCATGGGCTTCTATTGGGTAGTGTTTTTACAACGCGAGTCAAAACATTCTTAAAACACAACGCCATTCCCCGTTAACGAGCGGGGCCATTGCCCAACACATGAAACTGTCGTGCATGTCTCTGTTGAGTGTCGTCGTTAATGTCCAACTGTGGCAAAGTTTGATTTATATTTCACATTTTTTTTTCTGCCGTCGCGTATTTTTATGTAACAGAGGGGTCTCGTGCTGCACGCGGCGATTTGCTGTACGTCGGGGTTCGTACTACACTGCACAGCGTTAAGATGTTCGCAATGGAAATGTCTTAATTTTGTACTGCATCCGCTGTTGTCTTCGCCATGCTTAAAGTCATTTATATTTCACGGGAATTGACTTCGAGACGTAAGCGCAGATTTCCATTCATTCAATCACGTTCTCCCAGTGAGTGAAGTTGCCCCTCACAGCCAGGCAAACGTTGATCGTACAGCTGAGAATTGTGCCACACGTGGGGTTATTTAACGTGTCGCCTACATCAATGGCGCCACAGATATAAACAACTGTAAGAGTAGCAACCACATGCAACATTTGTGATGGTTTACACATGTATAAATGCATAGCATTTTTGCTGCAAATCTGCAAATGTAAGATTGGCAAGGTTATAGCCTTTCTATAATCCAATTTAATTTCAGACAGCATGTTTACGAATCATGTAATGTACAATATTTGTTTACAGAAGAAAAGTAATGCTTTTTGCTACACAATTAATTCCAAAGGCCTACCACGAGAGTAAATGCAGATTAAATTGAATCTCATTAAAAAAAAAAACATCACTTAGGTGGCCAAGTGGATCGCACAGGAAGCTTAAGCTTGGGGCGCTGTGAGGCATCACCGCTGAGATCTTGGGTTTGAAGGTCACGTGTCCAGAAAAGGGAAAAAAAACACTTCACATTTTCACAAACGTCGACGTGCTCAGTTCAGTCGTCAACAGTTGCCTGAATAAAAAAAACAAGCATTCCGTGAAATCGGTTAAAGCATCCACAATTCT